GCACACGCACACGCGCACGCGCACGCGCACGCGCACGCGCACGCGCACGCGCACGCGCACACGCACACACACACACACACTATTTCCATACAGACGTAGGCACAGAACAACTATAATAAAAATAAGGCTAAAAGCTTATGAAAGAAATACTCAAGAAATACACATAAAAGTAACTTGAGCGTTACCTGAACAATGACTGCGGAACATTTGTTCGCACAAAAGGAACACCTCCATGGCGCTTAACAGCCTGAAAATGAAAGATGATAATCCATTTAGAAACGTTTCACGCCTTCTCAAAATAAACCACACTTCCTCATTTATATCTAATCACTGGTACACGTACACCATCATCATCCAGTGCCAGATCTGCGACAGACATCGGCGATCATGGTTCTCCATTCATTCCTTTGCTCGGATGCTCTCAAAAAAGCTATGTTTCCCTGATCTTTCCCTGTTACCCATTTGTTTAGGTGTGTACACATACACACAGTCAAAATAATATTTGTATTTTATGTTTATCAATTTAATTAAGACACCTGAAATATGTGTAAAAGTTTTTCCAAAAGTAACTTGAAAGGATTTATTGATACATCAATTCATGGAAAACAGCATGAAAGGCAGGGGAGAAAAGAGAAAGAGGGTGAGTCAAGGAGAAGAGAGGAGTGTAGGGGGGAGGGAGGGTAAGAGAGGCAGAAAGAGAGAGAGAGAGGGATAGAGAGAGAAAGAGAGAGAGAAAGAGAGAGAGAAAGAGAGAGAGAGAGAGAGAGGAGAAGGAAAGGAACAAGGGAGGGAAGGGAGGGAGAGGACGGAGAGGGAGTAGAGAGAGGGGAGAAGCGAAAAACTAACAATACAAGAAGCATCTCAGGAAAGAAACCAGATAAGAATAAAGTAAATTAATTCAATCTTTCAGCTGTTCCACGTTCAAGTCACATTCACATGTCCTTTCATTCAAGCCTGTCTAAAACTGTGTTATGTTTTAAAAATACCTCCAAAATGAATATACATCTAACTGGGAAAAATTTCATGATCATGGAAGAGGCACATTGGGTCAAATCATTTTCTTCTTTTTAGTCTAGCCTAGTTGCATAAGCAAGTGTCAAAGGTCATTATTATGAAGTTATAAGATAAAATAAGATAAGCTAAGATCATACTTTATTATCCCAGAGGGAAATAATTTTTCGTGGCTGTAGGACCGTAAAAACAAATGCAGGTATACATAAAAACTTGAATTATATATTACCATCATTAAAATTTATTATGAAAAGAGAAGTAAAGCCGACAAAATGTACATATCACACAAGATGCATCATTTAACCACATGCAGGAATTCAATTACCTTTGACCTTTGGAGTTATGTTATAGATACATACTCTAAAGAGCAATACACATTGATGCTTATTCTGACAATAGCCTTATGCTAGATGGCAATAAAATTCGTTTATATCTTTCTTTATTTGTTTTTAGAGGTACATATCTGCCACTGCGTGATCTGACAACTTACGTGGAAATGGGGTGTGTCGGGTCGTTTATAATGCTTTTTATCTTTTTTATACTTGTGGTGTTATACATTTAATCAATTCTAGTAAATTCATATCCTGAGATCTTGGGGCTTTCTTATTGGTTCTGTCGAATTTTTCTTTATCATTATTGTTGTCATGTCATGTCTCCAGGTGGCGACTTTTCACCTTGCTCTAGGTAAGTTGATTATATCTGAAACTATTCCTAAGTCAGCTTATATCAGCACACTATAAACAATCAACTGATAAAACACGTAAATAGAACTATGGTGTTTAGCAGATGTGGAACTGATCCTTCATTACTCTATCTGTTTTGTCTGTCTGTCTGTCTGTCTGTCTGTCCGTCCGTCCGTCCGTACGATGACTCCTTCTTTTGTTTTGTTTTTAATTGAGAACCTGCAGATGAGCCTTAGCAAAGGTTTGAGAATGAGAAATAAACTGACGTACTGCCTTAGCAAGGGTTTGAAAACGAGAAATGAGTTGGCAACATATTTTTTCCACTTATACAGACAAGGCAAAATACCATCATTATGCTATTAATAGTTTTATGACACTCGCTCAACACTTTGCCGTCTCATCTCGCCGATCGGCAATTTTACCACCCAGTTTCTTTGGATTTTCCACGAAATGTCTTTGCCTTTGATAGCAAGAGTTTTTACGAGTACTATATACCAGCCTTGTGATGGCAAAGTGTTAAGGGTCTTATTTATCAGCCATCAAAATGACACCCTAAAATCTACTGCTCTCACAAACTGGTACAGACAATGGTTCAGCGGAATGACACCCCCTAAAACTACTGCCGAGTTGACTTCAAAACATGTAGCTAATGATGGTAAAATAGATCAGATGATTTTTACTCCTTTATCGACACAATTTAAATCATTTAGGAGGCCGGCTTCCAAACCTGCCTGTCAGGGCAAATTCCTGGACTGAAAGAGAGGGATGCAATATCCCGGCAGAAAGACCGAGATCTTCAATAGATATTTTCTCCCTATTTGGGAATCAAACTCAGGTCTGTAGAGCACAACAGCAAAGCTCCAAACCACTGCACCGCGTACAGACACCAGCCTAAAGTTGGTTCTTCATCAACGTAAGATCTAACCTGAACAGTCACAGCATCTTCATCCACAATTTCATCGATGAAAGCTTCCAGTCCAGCTGTGCAGTCATAGCCCTGTGAATAAACAGAAGAAAGTCTATAACTAGAACTGTGAATAAACAGAAGAAAGTCTGTAACTAGAACTGTCAATAAACAGGAGAAAGTGTGTAACTAGCCCTGTGAATAAACAGAAGAAAGTCTGTACTTAGAACTGTGAATAAACAAGAGAAAGTGTAACTAGAACTGTGAATAAACAGAAGAAAGTCTGTAACTAGAACTATTTTTTTGTATTTTAGTAGAGGTTTTTCGGCGCTCGCAACTGCATATAAGGTCATATGAGCGCCAGAAGATTAGAGGTGTTACAAGAGAGTAACAAACATGAAAAAGAAGGAGGCGGAAATAAGGACAATAGATGTTTGATAGGAAAGAAGAAGCAAACCACACCAGAGCAACCACCCGCCAACCACCCACAACTAGAACTGTGAATAAACAGAAGAAAGTCGTAAACTAGCCCTGTGAATAAACAGAAGTAAAGTTTTAATGAGAGTTTTAAAACAATTAGGTCATAAAAGTGACAAAATAAGAGCTATGCACAAAAAAAATATATGATGCCTATGCCATACAGGGAAAATGCTCTCCATAAACGGAACATTTCTATCTTATTTCAAGTAAACACAAAGCAAATAAAAAATGAATGGAAATAGTTTTACACAGTATTTGTGAAAACTCTAAATTTTAGTTAAAATAGATCTGATAAAAATTATTTTGCTTGAATAATACAGTAAAATTCTTTGCCAGAATTTCAAAAAAACATATGTGAGTCAGTGTGGTAGAATCAGGCTCTCGTCAATTTTTTGGCATGTAGAGTCATTGGTCTCATCTTATAGCTTGTTCACTTTTCTTTATTCGGATGAACAAAGTACCCATTTATCTTGAATATAAGTCGAGATATTTGTGAAAGAAGGAGGTGGGGGCCACTTGTTTTCAGAGGTAAAAGTAGTGAGAAAATGGCCACCAAAGATTAGTTATTTAACTATTTCCTTAGCTTAAGAGTCCGTGGTAACTGAAAATTTACATTTTTTATGCCGTTTTTCAGAAAAATCCAAAAAGAAATGAGTTCTTTAATGGGAATGAAAGGTGTTGAGCCAAAAAACAAAAATTTGATAAAAATTCACAAACCTGCGGAAAAATGCTAGTTTCTTCACTTTAATTATTTTAACGAGAGCCTGATTCCACCACGCTGCCTCACATATTTAAAACTTTCAAGATTCCTTACATAGTGTAAATATAACCCTTTGATACGATACAAATAAACTTTCCATAGTTTTAAGGCAAATGTAAAAGTTTATCATTCACCATTTGTGCCAATTTTTCATGAGAAAAGAAAGAGAAATACGAAAAATTCACCCACCTTTATATTCACGCTTTCCTTCACACTAACAGGTATACCAAAGAGAAGACCACTTTTGTCAGCCTTTTGATCCAGTTCCTTTGCTCTTTCCTGTTTGAAAAAATAAACATTCTTGGGGAAAAGACAACAGATGAAGAGTACCTGCAAATATCACCTCAGTCTAGTTTGATTAAAGAGAAGGAAATTATGAGCTGTTATTAACCCTAACCGTACGTCGTGTTTTACTATCATATCCATACCACAAGGGGAACTCTGTGCCACCACTTTCCAAAGAGGAAATTTACTCGTTAATCCGATTCGTACACTTTGCATAGCAGTCTGTGAAAATGATTTTTTGAGAAATATTAAAAGTTTCAAAGAGATCTTCGCACTAGAAGTATTCTAAATTGTGAAGAATACAACCCCTGGGGTACAAAATGACCCCAGGGCGTACGGACAGGGTTAAGTGTGTGGAAAAAGCAAAATAAACAGACAAAAGCAGCTCATGGAGAGAAAAGAAGAGGTCCTCTCAGAGGCACCCTCTAACTGCCCACCCACGTCACAGCACTAGACCAAAAACAAAACCCTCTGCATTAAAGAATCCACAAAAACAACAGAATATCAACAGCAAAAATATTTGTTTGTTTTAGTAAGATTTTACGGCGCTCGCAACATACAAAAGAAGTAGTGGAAAAATGATGAGAGTAAGGATGAGGGAAAGAAACAGCAGCAGTTCCTCCTATGTTGTTCTGGCACAGTATGAGCATGACATTGATAAATCAGCCCATTTACAATTCTACAGTGCATCAGAACATTTTAATATCCCCCCTTTGGAAATGGCCTAAAGACACTTCAGTCAGTAGCACAGATAGTTTCTATCTCCTAAGCTCCTGGATTTTAAAAACAAATTTCATTTCATTTTTTGCTGTCATTTCTCTGCTACAAAGCTGCATACAACAAAAACTATCCAGCATTCTCATGGAATTAAATAAGCAGCTTTGGGGAATAAATAAAACAATGATTAAAGAGACTTCTTTGTCTTTGAACTCTGTAAGGTGAAAGAAAATGATTTATGACAAAGAAAGAAGAGTCAAGACAGCTGAGGAAAAAAATGTATAAAAACTAATTAAAAGTCATATGAGCGCCTGAAAATTGGAGGTGTTACAAGAAAGTAACAAACATAAAAAAGAAGAAGGGGAGATAAGGACGATAGATGCTTGATAGGAAAGGAGGAGCAGACCACACCAGAGCACCCACCAATCTCCCATAATTTGGAGACTGAGGCAGCTGTGGGGTCAGACAACAGGCAAAACAAAATCAGAAGAAGAAGAGACAGAAAAGTTTCTTTAATTCTTTATGAACTACCTCTGCTTCAGGTAATGGTTCTGTGATACAGTTGATCTTTTCGTTCACTTCAAAGGCCTGGAACAAAAACATACTAACGGTGAGATTTTGCCACATACTAGTGTCATGTCATAAAATAAGACGGACGAACCATATTTCTAAACTTGGCTTTATTAAACAAAAGGACATCCAACTAGTTTGAGTTAAACTTGGTTTTAATAAACAAAAAGACATGCAACTAGTTCGAGTGGGTAGACAGCGACTGACGATAACACACGGAGTTGAGCGGACACCGGACACAGCACAACGACAGGACACACTGAGCGACACTCACAAACTCAGTGACGACGAGACAATGAGTGAACAGAGACACAACAAGATAAATATCACCACAATCAGCTTTTTAAGTTCTTGCAACCAGAGTGTGGAAGTTTAGTTTTAGTAAGAGTTTTACTGCGCTCGCAACTGCATAAGGTCATATGAGCGTCAGAAGATTAGAGGTGCTACAAGAGAGTAACAAACACAAAAAAAGAAGGAAGAGAGATCAGGACGATAGATGTTTGATAGGAGAGAAGGAGCAAACTACACCAGAGCACCTGCCAACCACCCACAGAGTGTGGAAGAGTAAGAGCCTTACAAAAGAGAAATTAGAGGAATGGTAAAAAATTATAACTTGAGTAGAGAGTTGAGTAAGAGTGGTGTTGAAGAGCAGCTTTGCCATAGAAATAAGAGTAACAAGAAACATTCGACTGATAATTGAGTCACAAAAAGAACAAACACTTGGGGTTTATTTCACAACCATTCCTCAAGTTAACATTACTTTCTTTAAACGTTACACCCCTCCTCCAACACCCCCCCCCCCCCCTTTTTTTTTCAAAGCCCAGGAAAATCAATGACTGAAACAGAAGAGTTTTGTCTTGTTGTTAAGGATAAAAGATTATGCAAGTATCAGGACATCATGGAACATTTTTTGTTTGTTTTGTTGTTGTTGTTTTTTAAATTTGCAAACCATACTGGAATGAACTTAAACAGCAAGCATGTTTGACACTGAAATGAGACTAAAAGTTGTGCACCCGCCAACCACCCACAGACAAGCATTTAAAAACTACTTTTTCCAAAGTTCATCTAGTTGCTGAAGGTTGCTTGCCAACTAGAGACAAGACGGCCACTTATTGTCAAAGAAAAAAGTGTTTGTTTTAGACAGGTGGATGGCTTAGACAGTCTCAACATTTACCTTTTAGCACTATGGAAGAACATTTTGCAAAAAGAAATGCATAAAGAGCAGACAAAATGGAACATTTATTCATTCTTTCAGTTATGTGTGAGTCACTCAACTAGACTCTTTCAGAACACAAACCTTTCGCTGGAAAGCATGAAGTACTTCAAGTGCACTCAGTTTTCCATTCTTTAGATCTGCCAGGAGGGATTCGGCCGACCTGTTAGCGATGTTCTCTGCTGATCTAGTCTGAGGAAATAAAAGATTCAATTTTACATACACATAAATTAGGGTTCCTTTAATCTAGTGTGATTAAAGGTATATCAAATTGAAAATCTTGAAGCTTTGAAGAGAAGTATTTAGTTATAGTAAAAGTTTTACGGCACTTGCAACACAATAAGGTCATAAGAGTGCCGAAGATTATAGGTGTTACAAGAGAGTAACAAACACAAAAAAGAAGCAGGGGAGATAGAGATGATCGATTTTTTATAGGAAAGAAGGAGCAAACCACACCAGAGCACCCATCAACCACCCACAGAGAAGTATTTAAAAACTTTTTTTTTTCCAACTGAAAGTTGCTTGCCAACTAGAGACAAGACGGCCACTTATTGTCAAAGAAAAAAGTGGGCGTTTTAGACAGGTGGATGGCTTAGACAGTCTCATTATATTATAGAAAAAAAATGCAACAGGAAGGGCGGGGGGAGGAGTAATTGTTTGTATAGGTGAGTGTGTTGGACAGGTACACTAGGCAGCGGCATTTAAGGCAGGTTCGACTGGAAGCTAAAAGTAGGCTGCTTCAACCAGCTGTAAAACTTCACAGGGATGTAACAAAGTACAAAGAAATCTTCATAGAAAGTGACCGCACAGTAGCATATAGGTCTTCAATCTATGACCCGCACAGTAGCATATAGGTCTTCAATCTATGACCCGCACAGTAGCATATAGGTCTTCAATCTATGACCCGCACAGTAGCATATAGGTCTTCAATCTATGACGGTACCAGACAATGTTATATTGCTTTCCCTTTATTCAAAGGCTCATAAATGTCGTAAGGAATTAATTTTTTTAAATATGAAAAAAAAAATTCACACAAAAGATACAAATATACTGCAACATTATAACTGAGGGGGTGGAGAACTTGGAATGGAGAAAAGAATAAGAGTTCAAAACATTATTATTATAGTAGAGGGTTTTACGACGCTCGCAACTGCATAAGGTCATATGACCGCCAAGGGGTGGGTGTCAACAGAAAGTCTTTACAGGGAATCAGACTTACTCTGCTCACCTCTCTAGCTTCAAAAGCACCAGGTCTGCTTCAACAATCAAGGCATCCCGGAAATAGCAGGTCACAAGAGTGACAAACATACAAAAGAAGTAGAGGAAAATGACAATAGTAAGGATTAGGAAAGAAAAAGCAGCAGTTCCCTGTTTTAGATCAGGCACAGTAATGGGCGTGACATGAATCAGCCCATTTACAATTCTACTGTGCTTCAACGAGAAATGTCCCCCCTTTGGGAATGGCCTAAAGACACTACAGTCAGTGGCACTGCCCCGGGGGGGGGGGGAGATTTCAAAACAGATTTGGCAAGGAGCAAGTACAAATTGAGAGGAGGCATGGTTAAGGTGTACACTAAGAGGAAGAAGAGGAAGATCAAAAGAAAATGAAATAATGTTCAAGTGATGACTAAGAAGAATATGTTTAAGAAAGTTCCCTGAAGCTTCACAGACACATAAACTAGAACGCAAAAGAAACAATGGGGAGGGGGGAGGGGAGGCGAAGGGGGAGAGGAAGAGATAGGGGTGAGAGGGAAGGGGGGTGGGGGAGGGGACAGGGGTTAGAGTTAGAGAACAGAAAGACCAAATCCAGGTAGCAAAGGAATATGAACCAGGGTGAGTAGGCAGAGGGTGAAAAGAAGTGACGGAAGAATACCAACCTTTGAGAAGTTTTCTCGGACAATATCTTTCCTCTTTTGAGCCAACTGACGTCTTTTTGAATGCTTTTGATCTAACCTCCTCATAGAGGCAGACTTTCTCCACGAGTAAAAGGCATACCGGAACAGCCACAAGCTGGCTAGAGACAGCAATCCAATTCTTGTCCGTCGATCACTCACCAGGATCTCCAGAACCGAAGCAATATTTTGCGGAGTCATCATTGCCCCCACAACCTGGGGGGAAAAATTTCAGAAGTTATGGGATTTTTTTTGTTTTAGTAAGGTTTTACGGCACTCCGCTCGCAGCTGCATAAAGTTTTATGAGCACTAAGGGGTGGATGCCAACAGAGAAGTCCAAACAGGGAATCAGGCTTACTCTGCTCACCTCTCTAGCCTCAACAGCACAAAGTCTGCTTCGACTACTAAGGTACCACAGAAATAGCAGTTCACAAGAGAAAGACAAACATACAGAAGAAGTAGAGGAAAAATGATGATACTAAGGATGAGGAAAGAAAAAGCAGCAGTTCCCCCTATGATGTTCCGGCACAGTATGAGAATGGCATTGATAAATCAGCCCATTGACAATTCTACTGTGCATAAGAACACGTTAATATCCCTCCTTTGGGAAAGACACTTCAGTCAGTAGCCCTGCCCAGGGGGGATGAAGTTATGTTTGTGAAGTATTTCACATATGTGAGCAGCGCGGTGGAATCAGGCTCTCGTCAAAATATTCAAAGTGAAAAAACGTGCATTTTTCCGCAGGTTTGCGAATTTTTATCAATTTTTTGTTTTTTGGCTCAACACCTTTCAAGCCCATTAAAGAACTAATTTCTGTGTGGATTTTTATTAAAAACGTTGATTAAAGACACCAAAATGTAAATTTTCAGTTACCACGGACTGTTAAGCTAAGGAAATAACTAATCTTTGGTCGGACATTTTCTCACTAATTTTACCTCTAAAAACAGGTAACCCAGACCTCCTCCATTCACAAATATCTCGACTTGTATTCAAGATAAATAGATACTTTTTTCCATCCAAATAAAGACTAGTGAACAAGCTTTTAGACGATACCAATAACTCTATAAGCCCAAATATTGACGAGAGCCTGATTCCACCGCGCTGCCTCACATATTTATATGATGACGTTTTTCTTCCTCTTCTTTTTTCCCTATCCCCAGAACGAAAACGCTGAACAGATGTTTGAGGACATCTATGCTTTGGTCTGTCTTCTCATTTCTTAACAACAATAGCATGAAATCACAATTTATAATTGTTTATATTGCCATTTTTGGGAAGACTTAAAAGCTTTTCCCTTTATTCCTTTCATAGTATCATAACCACTTTATTCCTTCCCCAGTACCACTACAATTATCTCTCCTAGATAGCAGTCATAAGCATAGTATCCCATAAGAAAAGAAGAAAGTTTTTTTAGTATGCAACCCAACTAGTAAGAAAAACATGTGCTACAAAATAATAATCAGAAACCTCAACCCAAATGCCAGTTCTGAAGACTCATGGCAGCTTACGATGGATGACGAGAGGAAGAGAAGCCAAGAAGAAGAGAAACCGATAACTAGGTGTGGTCGAACAAAAAGAGGAAACGCAGCCCTTTAGCAAGATCAACAGGAGAAAACTGCACAGGACAGACATTTTAATTTTTAGACAAAAATTGTTGATGGCCAATGCTTCTTAGGGAACTAAAAGGAAAAAGACAAACCAAAATTACTACTGCAACCTACAGAAAACAAACCAGTGAATGAGCCAATAATGCACACTCACGCGATAGAACTCTTCCACAGTAACCTCCACAAACAACGACTAACAAAGGTTAATTTCTCTTCAGTACAACAACACCTTCTTGCTCTGAGAAATATTGAAAGATGAAACTTATTTCACACACAGCAACTGTTGAGTCAAGTCTCCAAATGACAGATTAATAATAACTTTGCAATCCATTCAGGACAGTGCTCCACTGGAAATGACAAACTGATTTGATTTTATCTGCTGGCTGATAAAACCACCTCACATAACACTGCCTCGTGTAATACACTCTCACATCTGTCTAACATGAAACTATTCCACATATTATCATTATGGCCTATGCTTCTTAAGGAATCAAAAGGCAAAAGACAAAGCATAATTACTACTGCAACCTTCTACAAAAATCAAACCACTTCTGTTCGTGATCACATTCCTGCCATACAGTAAACTTAACTGCTGTCAGTAAGTCTTATTAAAATAGTATTCTGACCTTCAAGCACCTCGACGTCTAGCATAATAAAAGTAATGGGAAAAAGCATGGTGGAGCAATTTTGCCCTATCAGTAAAATGATTAAATCCGCAAAAAGGAATCAAACCAAGCCAAGAAGTCGTGCTGAAACAGAATTGTCAGAGTGATGACCTAAGTCAAGCCTACACATTCTCACTTCTTTCAAGGCAGCTGATGAGCTAAAAAATTCTCTACTATACTATGAAACCACGGAAAAGGGCTTCCTATTCTTTAATACAAACCGAAGACTTCCTACAATCATTTTTCTCTGAACAACTATACAAACCTTTAGACCAGAAGAAAACCTTTGAACATTTTTTATTTGAGAATCAGAAAGTAAAATAGACAGCAAAAAGAAACACATATGAGACATGCTATAAAAAAGACTGCTTCATGGTAATCCATAATTCCCGACTCACATAAAAGTCACAGCGTACAGTGTATACACATTTTCGCTCATCTAAACCACAAACGTTCAATCCTAAACTGAAGTGAGTTGATGAGAATAATGTCAATATAAAATGGTAATGACAGAAACTTAATAGTTCACTCTCCTACCATTACTGCCACTCGAATGGAGCATGCTACATGTAGCTTTCAAGGCAAAAAATTATAGATCTAGTAACAACGAAAGGGGAATCTGTGGGCATACCCTAAAAAAAAATTACTCGCAAAAGCATGTGAACATGCAACTTCTTTCATAAAGCATACAAGCTAATAAAAATATTACAAAAATGATAGAAATCCAGATCAAAACTTTGTCAAACCCCATGGTCTACAAGCTCTTGCAAACCATTAACACAGCACAGACAGTCCTGCTCACTGATATGATAATGGGGTCGCAGTCTTATTCAACTGACTAGAAATTAGAAATTAGGACAGCCTCAATAAAAGTAGGATGAATAATTTATGAGTTCATACAGAAGGCATATCAAACATGATCTTGATGTCAGCTCATAAAACATACTATGAAAAGAAGCTGATGATAGCTCTTTTCATACCTTACGACTTGACACTGAACTAAGATAAGTAGCTCATCATTAAGTGTAACAACATATATATGGTATTATTATTATTATTACTATTATTATCATTATTATTATAATTATTATCATTATTATTATTATCATTATTATTACTATTATTATTATTATAATATTAGATAGCATTTTTACAGAGTGCAAATTCCCGCTTAACAGCAAGCTCTAAGCGCTTTATAATCTATATTATTACCCCAGCAAACCTGATAGCATTCTGAAACAATCTCAACTTCCTGGGGAGCATTCAGCGCAAGCTGCCATTTTTTTATATAGGCGCTAAAACACTAATTAACATACTGACAAAATCTTTCGCTGTCTACTATTATCACGTACCCATTCTCACCTGGGTGAAGTGAGGAAAGTTTGCTTAAAGTGCCTTTCCCAAAAACACAACATCAGCATAAGGCTCGTGACAACCTCACAATTATGAGTCCGGTAATCTAACCACTAGACTACAGATGCTACATGGTACATGGATCTTTGTTATATAAATGCAGTTACTGATTTTATTATCCTGTGCTTTCAACTGGGGCTATTTCCTCTCTGGTCTTCATAAAAATAAAAATGATGAATCATCAAAATTACATTAACATTGCTGACCAGCATTGCGTATGACAATTCTTACAATGGCTGCACAACCATTAGTGGCCATGCATCATTTGCTTTCTTTTCCTTTCAATGCTCATCACTATTTAAAACTAGAGTTGATAATTTTCTAGAGGAAAAAATGTTTCTTATGTATTTAAGCCAAAAAAATACAGTGTAGGCCAATAATCTTCCTACATATCTACATTGTTTACAAACAATTCTTCGTTAAATGTAAAGTTGAAAGGATCTTAAATTTCCAGCCTGTGTAGAATTATAAATTTCGAAAAAACATTTTTTTACATGTATACATTATGTATCATATCATAGTACAGAGTTAGAACTTCAAGTAGTAGGCTACAATAGTATTATAATTTTCAGTCTCAATACTCAATAACTTTTTAAAAAGCAATAAAAAAAACACTATAAGTTTAAAGTGACTGCAAAATTTAAAAATGTTATTGGGGGTAGGTATAAATTTGAAAGACCTCTAGATCTACATGGTAAAAAAAATATACAAATGAAAAACAAAAGCTTGGAAAAAAGATATTATAACTGAAGTCCACCGCTGACACCTGAAATCAACAGACAGGTTGATTTTTTTTTAAACGTAGTGACTATTTCTCCGAACACTCAGGAAAATCAACTTGATCTCTATTTCTCCGAACGGTTTCCGTTCTCAAGATTCTTTGGCTGTTTGAGACTATTTCGGCGTGATCTTTTATTCTGCAATTCTGCGAGGACTGCGAGGAAGCATTTTTTGCACTGAATTCAATTTCTAGAGCAAGAGATTTTTAAAGGTCTAAGTATTCAGATAATTCAATTGTGGTTAGGGCAACATTCCCGGGCTATTCGAATTTTAAAATGCCTTCAAAAGATACCACGAGAAAACAAGACTGCTCGACTTTGGCAGTACCTATTTTGCATTTAGTCACCCTTAAAGCAAAAACTAAAATCCCTCACGCAAACAAAAAAAATCCCTTCACGCCCCCCTCCCCCCAACCCGTTCACACCTTAAACACAC